AAAAAAAAAGTACAAAACATTGCCCTAATTGATGAGGCCATTGTGAGTTTTCAGTAACTGACTTTAAGAAGATCACCATTTCGTTCTTTCTAGTTTTATTCTGGAAGCACCAATGAAATCTGTTAAGCATCATGGCAATATGCCTGCTTCCAAGGACAGGTAGTGTCTATATGTAAAGAGCATTGATCAGGAATCAAACTAGAGTGTCATGCATGGAATGAGAGAATTCTATCAATGAACTCAAGGAAGAAGGTGGGTGTACTAAACATTTGTTAGACAGTCACTAAAGAAATAGAAAAAGCTTTAAAAAATAATAAAATGTACTTTATTTAACTTAACAACTTATTGTATAAATCTGCTTAAGGTCTGTAGATGATATAAACCATTTATTACTTAATTAAAGGTTGGAAGTTCTAACCCATGCAGCAGTACTTCAGAAGAAAGGATTAATTATGTGCTTATAATGGAATGTGCAAAAAGCTAGAGTTGGAAAATAAAAAAGAAAAAACTTACTTGGCATTCAGCAAACTGAAATAACTGGGGGGGGGGGCGGAATTCAAGCCTGAAGTTGCACTAGTGAGAGACACTATAGGAAAATTCTTGAGCAATGCAGGATGTATCAAAAGAAGGTACACGAAATACAAGGAGTCATCACACAAATAAGAATTGGCCAACACTGAAATATTTCAGGAAGTAGCATATGAGAAAGAGCCAATTTTGATGAAGGAAGAAGTTCAAGCTGTATTGAAGGCATTGGCAATAAATAAGGCCCTAAGAATCAATGAGACACCAAAGGACATGTTGCAAATAACAAATGCAGCCCTGGATATGCTCACCAGTCTATGTGAGAAAATTTAGAGGACAGCTACCTGGACAACTGCCTGGAAGAGATACATATTTGTTCCCAATCCCAAGAAAGGCGATAGAATAGAATGTAGAAATTATCAAACTATATCATTAATATCTCATTCAAGCAAAATATTGTTGAAGATCATCAAAACACGGTTGGAATACTACATTGACAGAGAACTGTCAGAAGTTCAACTTAGAAGAGGCTGTGGCTCCAGGGATATTATTGCTGATGTCAGATGGATCTTGGCTGAAAGCAGAGAATATCAGAAGAATGTCTACTTTCATTGACTATGTAAAGGCATTTGACTGTGTAGATCATAACAAACTACGGATAAGCTTGAGAGGAAGAGGAATTCCAGAACACTTAATTTGACTTATAGAAAATCTATACTGAGACCAAGAGAAGCTCTTGTCCAAATAGAGGAAGGGAATACTGCATAGTTTAAACTGGGAAAGTTATGTGTCACAGCGTATCCTTTCTCCAAATATATTCAACCTGTATGCTGAGCAAATCATCCAAAATGGTGGACTTTACAAGGAAGAGTATGTCATCAGCATGGCTCATCAGTTTGCATTAGGCAGATGATACAACCTTGCTTGCTGAGAATGAGGAGGACTTGAAGTGCTTGCTGCAGAAGACTAAAGACTAGATTGAAGACCACATCCTTCAATATGGATTACATGTCAAAATCAATAAAACAAAGGTTCTCAAAATTGGGTCAATAGATAACATGAGGATAACAAGAGAAAAAACTAAAGTCTTGGTACCAACAGTCAGGAGGTCAGCAGACATACTGCATTGGGAAAGTTTGCAGTCAGGGAATTCTCTAAATTACTCTGGAGAGTAATGGTGTCACGTTGAAGACTAAGGTGTGCCTGATTCAGGCCATGGTCTTTTCTTTCTTTTTTTAAAATTCTAATTTGATTTTATGCTGGTTTACTTACAAAGTTCACTGTTGTTGTGGTGATTATGTGCGATCGAGTCATCTGCAACTCATCGCGACCACATGTACAACAGCCCTAAACTCTGCTCTGTCCTGTGCCAATCACACTGTCTCTAATACACACCCATCCCAATTTTCCCAGACACTAAAACACTCCACCTCACAGGGGACCTTCCCCTCCTGCTCTGTCCCTCCACCCTCCCAAGCATGATATCCCCCTCC